TTTTTGTTATAATAAACACTTTTTATTTTATTTTTATTTCATAATTTACTATCTTTAACCTATCTACCGAACGTGGAAACGTTTAAACAAAAAAATACTGTCATCCCTTAGAGCAAGAAGAGACGTAATATATTTTATAAACGAATAGTTCATTAAACAAAATTAATATAAATCATCTTTTGGCTTATAAGTACTGTACTGACATCGAACAGAATATTTAAGTCAAGTAAATTATTTATTGCGGTATTCAGTTGCGAAGCGCTTCGAACATGACATGCCTTATTAAGATACTGATTTATTGGCACAATATCTTGGGTGGAACCACCTGCTTTATCCATCAGGTCATGTACCATTAGTTTTTTTTTTTTTTTAAGGGGGGAAAATCATCGAATGACTGCTCCCGCCTGGGTGAGGCGGAAGGGAGTGTCAGACTCTTACTGACTAAAAACCACCCCGTTCCTTCTCCTGCACGTCGAGCCGGAGCCCCGGTTACCCGTTAGGTTCTCCGCGACTCCGAATCGGCATCGGCCCTATTGGGCCCCATCTGTGGTGGTCTGATGGCTCTTTGAGGCGCGCGCGGAACGCGACGCGCCGTACGCTCGGGTCTGTTTCTGGTCGGACGGGGAGCCACCCATGCTCGCCGTCCGCAGGCCCGCGCTTACGGTGGCCGGAGATCGTCCCGCGATCCCCGACGCCCGGTGTATCCTTCGCGATAGCTGGGTTGCGAGGAGGCAGCGCTTCGCTGCCTCACGCGTCCCGCCTCCTCCTTAGATGTACCATTAGTTTAGGTTTTCATGGTAGGTTGATCCAAATATCGTGATAACAAAATTTTACTAAATTAGAATGGGTTTTTGTGATAGAAACCCGCAACATTTTATTTTTGTTTATATTATTTGTTTATATAGTCTGCCTCGTCAGCCGAGTGGTCCCAAGTGCGATTGCTGGGTAAGGGGTCGAGTCCAAGGTCGAGCAAAGTATTACTGTAGACTGAAGTACTGAAGTAAAAAAAATCTCAGTGGTAGCACGAAGATACTTGGAATTCATTAATTCCTTGGAATTAAAAAAAAAATAGGGGGTGAGTCTATTGCCATATACTGGGCACATAAACAGACTTCGTGCTACCACTGAGATTTTTTTAGATATTACATGGGACTCATAACATAAATAGTGAAAAGTGGGTGTTCCATTGTACAGAGGCATAATGTGCCTACCCCTTCGGGGCTAAAAGGCGTGATGTTATGTGTATGTCTTTCGTGAGACAAACTAATTATAAAGTTTTCGGCTTGCTCAAATAACCGTTTGACGAGGAATTCTTCTAGTTTCAAACCATGCTAGAGCCTCAATTTGTATGGAGTTCCTTGTTAGACAGTTACACGAATGAGCTGGAAACATAATAATATGTTTTATTTTTGCTAATATTGATGAGAGTAATTATAATATAACATATTATCATAAACACCACTGTTGATCAATCATTGTTCTTTAGTTTATCTCTAATAGGTAGTTAGGTAATGTTAACCATAAACTGTCCCGTTCCCGAGCGTACGGCGCGTCGCAATCCGCGCGCGCCTCGAAGAGCCATCAGACCACCACAGATGGGGCCCAACAGGGCCGATGCCGATTCAGAGTCGCGGAGAACCTAACGGGTTACCGGGGCTGCGGCTCGAAGTGCAGGAGAAGGAACTGGGTGGTTTTAGTCAGTAAGAGTCAGCAGTCATTCGATGATTTTCCCCCCATAAAAAAAACTGTCCCGTTAGTTGTAAATTCATTACCGAGTAAGATGTCTTAAGTTCTATTCCCGAGCCACAAAATCAACAATTTTTTAAATATTCTCGGTTCGTTCGGGAGTTTTATATACTTATGCCTGGTATGTGGCAAAATAATCACCCCTTATATGGATCTTTCAAACTGCAAGGCAGACTTGCTCCTATCTAGAAATTATATTATGAAACATTGGCAATGAACAATATTATACAGCCTTTTAACCTTCGTTATAGTTGATGAGCATACTATAGCATGACCTTGAATACTGGCTGTTCTATACTCCATAATTATCTGTTTCATTCAATATTCCCAGGAGGCGTTCATGTGTGCAATCGATTTTCCAACTGATTGGCGCCATTTATACAAAATTTCATTCATAGTTTCTGAAGTGATTGTGTTTTGACTACTTATATGTATTCGTTAGTTGTAATATGTCTTTGTAGTATTTTTATTATGGCATAAGCCGGTAAACGAGCTGACGGATCACCTGATGGTATGCAATCGGCGTCGCCCATGGACACCTGGAACACTAGAGGCGTTACTAATTCTTTAACGGCTTTTTGGGGATTAGGAGTTTGAGGATCGTTGGGGATTCAGGGATTGGGGAGGTTGGGGAAGGGGAGGATAATTGAGCCTCCGGTAACCTCACTCACACGACGAAAAACAACGCAAGCGTTGCTTCACGTCGGTCTTCTTTGAGGCCGTGGTATCACTCCGGTCGAGCCGGTCCATTCGTGCCGAAGCATGGCTCTCCCACACTTAAAAATTACTACAAATCAGTATATTCAAAGCCTTCTAGTCCGGCTCCACAGGATAACAAAAAACACTGATGTTTTAATGAAATTGTAAATAATACAGCCATTTTGCTAAATTGTATATTGTTTAACTTAGATAACCATTGTGAATGTGAGAGCCCTGTAATTAACTTAATATTAAATTAGACTAGTAGAATGCATTTGTGTCAGCGTGGAGTTGTCATGCTCACTCAAAGGTCTCATTGGCGGTGGCGCGTGCAGTGGATCGCTCGATTCCCTACAATATGGTTGATTTGGGCGGTGCTGGTGTACGTGTCATGTTCGTGAACGGGCGCCGTCAACTGGGACTGGTCAGCTCCAGACTGTATTATTTATTGTCTTTAAGGTTATTTTCTTTTTCAATCACTTTGACTAGATTTTAGTGTTACATTGTTCTCGCACAATCCAAACAGCAAACTATGTAACTGGACAATTGTATTGTGAACCTGATTGAAAAAGAGTAACCTATGGAGTTTCTTGCTCGTTCTTCTCCATAGGAATCTACACTTTGGAATGAGCAAATAGCTTCACTTCTAATTTTATTGTTGACGTTCAAAAGTGCCTTTCTGGTCTAATTGAAATAAATGATTTTGACTTTGACTTTTGACTTCAATTTCAACCGAAGGTGTGTAGACTGTATGCATCTACGATATAATTGTGCAGTCCTGACTGTACATCGCATGTTATATCGCAACAAATGGACTGGTTTCTGTTATATAATCGAAATGAATTGCTCCAATAAAATATTTATTTTCTAATATTTTCCTACTACATAGGGCTTATTATCTATTGTTATTTTTATGTGATAGGTACTTCATTTTGCAATAAAATTATTTATTGTTTCAAGTTCAAGTTTAAATTGCATTTTGACACGTTTATTGGTTTAGTTATTATAAAGTTGTGGGTTTAAGTAAACGTTGTTTTTTGAATAGTAAAAAAAAAATGTTTTTTATTCTGTACTTTTGAATTTTGGTCCTATTTTTTAAGTGACAAGTTAATTACTATTAGTTATGTTTATATTGTTTTATTTTGCTGTATATTAAACAAGCCTATTTTCTCTGATTCTCTACTTAACTCAAAAATTGACTGGGAGAAAATGCCATATGGCATTAAGTCCGCCTTATGTACTTCTTTTCTTCTGTATGTCTGTGTGCATTAAAGAATAAATGAATAAATAAAGTGATTAAAATTCGTATGTCTAGCAAGTTGTTTAAAGGTAAGGTGCTTTTTGTATAGGTAATGTTTGGATTCAATTCGCAGGCGAAAAACATTAGTGAAATTTGTAGTTTTCTTATATTTTAATAAGAACAGTAACAACCTTACCTCCAATGGGAATTGCTCATAAATGATAGTTAAACGGGCGTGAAGTTTGTGTGAAAATATTAATGTGTCTGCCTAGCCAAAACAATCTAATAAAACAAGAGTGACTAAAATAAGAATGTATGTACTAAGTTCTTAATAAAATAAACTAAACAAAGAAAATACTGATCACATGACGAGTGATGTCAAACGCTTTGAAATTGCAGTCAACTAATATGTCACTACTATCTAACGATAAAAATAGTACTTTCATATTACATTTAATCCCAAACCATTTATTTGTATTTGATAAGACAAAACAAATACATCACGATACCAAATATCTACTCAGTAAATAACAGTATTTGTCAGATAAAAGTTTGATACTGATCTCGTTAAGGCAGTTTTACACAGAGCTGTAAACAAAAAAATATGGCCAACGATGACAGGGCGTCCACTGCGCATGTACCAGTCCAAGTACCATTTATTGTTAACCCATTATAGAAAATTACATAAAAGACACTTACAATACCTCAACAAACCATAATGCTGACAATTTAATAATCTATTTATAGGAACTTAATATAACTAAGTGAATGGAAGTGCAATCGATGGGTGCGCGCGCATCCGTAAACATGGCTTCTTGCGTCAAAACCGGCGTCTCGACAATCTGTGTCCGTCAGTGTACATCGCTGCTTGTATACCTAAAATTGATAATATGTACTGGACATGAGTGGTAATGGACGTTGAAATATACAATGTAAACGATAATAACGCAATTTATCAATCGTGTAGTCAGAGCCAGACAATATACTGTGGGTTAGTGTACCACCCGACTTAAGGGACCGCGGATCAAAAGAACAGACTCGCGCTGAATTTCATACGTAAAAACAATTCACAAGGATGTCTGAACCGTCCTAAATAACCAAACAAAAAAGTATCTTTAAAGCAAATAAAATTCGAAACGTATTTAATTCATGTAGCAACAACCGAAATCATGCAATAAAAGAAGAGAAAACTGTCGCTTGCAACGTTATAATAATAAAATATTAATTATAATAAAAACAGTGGAAAAACGTGGTCAATATAATTAGATTAACCAGGTCCTAAGGATCTGGACTGCAAAGTCCAATTTCACCTGTAATGGAGAAAGGTGAACGGTTTTCAGAATATCTGTTCGCGAAGATGGGCCCCGGAGATAGGGGGCCGAAGACCACAGAAGACCGGTCGGCTCCTGTCGAACGGACTGGCTTCAGGAAGATCCTGGTCGACAATGTGATGCTGGTTGTAACCCTAGCCGGTGTCATCACTGGTATTGGTCTTGGTAAGTGTATTTTACTAACTCTCATAAAGTAATAATAAAAATATAGTTTTACAAAGGTAATATTATTATTGAATTGTACTATCAAGTGGTCAATGATCCTCGTTGCAGTGTTAAAATTAGAATGTTAATTTAATTGACTTTTTCCACTTAGATAATTGTATTAAACACTTCGAGCTTTGTTCAGTTATGTTTCTTAGACTTTATTTTACTAAAAGTAACGTGTTGTTTTAGATTTTTTATGCAAAGGCAATTATTCCATTGTCTCATGCATGAAGCGATGTGCGACAATTTCTATATAATAATAAAAAAATGCCTATAGTATCAATGTTTAAAAATATTAATGAATCCATGTTTTATTATATTACTGACTGAAAGTCTTAACATGAAATAATCACAGAAATCAAACAAACATCTAATTACCATCAAACCCACAACAATGGAGTTCTTTAGGCTTTAGCACAGACTAAGAATTATTTGCCTATTATGTATGTAGCATAGAATAATACTATACATGTATTACTTACCTACTTATACCTTGTTTGACAATAGTAACTTTCCCTACAATCGCATTTTTGATACCTCTATAAAAACAATATGTCCTCTGTGATGCAATGTGCAGTAGACTTCAGCTACATCAAATTATTTTTTTTCTAGGTCTGGGCCTTCGACCCTACCATCTGGGCCCTGACGCCTTAATGATAATATCCTACCCTGGCGAACTGTTCATGAGACTTCTAAAACTGATGATCTTGCCTCTGATCATAGCCAGTCTTATTGCTGGATCAGCAAGTCTGAATGCCAAGATGAGTGGGAAAATTGCCGTCAGGACTTTGTTGTATTTTATTTTAACGTCCATGTTTAACGCTTTTCTTGGACTGGTCCTGGCTATGTTGATTCATCCTGGAGTGCCAGAAATTAAGCAATTTGGATCTTTTGTTGAAGGGAAGAGGGAACATAGTATTTTGGACAGCATTTTGGATATTGGTCGGTAAGTTTCTTAGTACAATTTCTTTGTTTCATTCTCTAATGTTCGGAACTTGTGAGAAATTCTTCTCATTATAAAGGGTTCGAATCCTCAATCGATTAAAATGTAGTATGTTATTAGAATTCAAAGCATTTCGTTGAACAAAATCTTATATTTCTATCATAAATTAGTTTAATATCAATATATAACTTATCTATTTCCTGTTATCTATAATAATCATTAGGGAGTTGGTCCCCTTTTAATCGATATTAACGACTACCATAAATGGTTTTACATTCATCGCAAAACCTTATTTCATAAAGTAATCTCTTATGACCCCATTTATGTAACGAGTTTTCAAACTTCAGCAGCTTGCTATGGAAAAATTAATCAATTTCAATGATTGACAGGAACATATTTCCGGACAATATCGTACAAGCCGCTTTCCAGCAAGCGCACACGGTGTACACAGAAGCACCCGCCATGTTTGGACGGAATGCCAGCGATAATGACACAGTGCCTTTGGTTCGAACCGTCGCTTATAGGTAAGCATCATCATAGATATTATTTTTACTGAGTTTATTTATTAACTATTATGGAAATTCATGTTTTGGAACTATATTCACCACTCCGTGGATTGTCACCGCTCCTAGCCTTATCACAGCCACTTACTTGATACTATGAAGCGGCACTCTGTCTTAACTGAAAAATCTTTTAAACTGCGATCTCCTGTCCACCTATCAGCTAAGCGTAAAGGTTATGGCCTCTTAGGGTGCGTCCACATCTGGCGAATGCACCGCGAATGAACCGCACGCGAGTCGCGCGCTTACATTTCAAATTACAAGAGTGAACAGGTTTCTTAAGGGTCGCCAAGACGCAGAATGCAGTTTTGCAGGCGTACGTAGGCCACGGTAACCGCTTACCATCAGATGGGCCGTGTGCTTTTTTGCCACCGTCGTGGTAAAATCTCTGGATTATGAAAACCTTCTCACGTAGCTCTATGGTCCTATAACGACTATAACGAGGTGTCGATGATACTAATGACATAAATATCTTTTTACAGATCAGGCACCAATACGCTAGGTTTGGTATTCTTCTGCCTAGTTTTTGGCAGTCTTCTGGGAACATTAGGGGCTAAAGGCCAAGTAGTGATAGATTTCTTTCAAGCAATCTTTGAGGTGATCATGAAGATGGTGACGGGCGTCATGTGGTTTACGCCAGTTGGAGTTAGCAGCGTTATAGCTGGGAAAATTCTTGGTGTTAATGATGTTGGTGAGTTTGTTGTATCTTTAGAAATTGTATATCTTTGTAAAAGAGGAATTAGGCGTAATTTTACAGAGAAGCAGTACACGGTTAAACAAGATTAAAAAGTGAATTAAAATTCTAAAAATCACAAAAAAACTATTATTAATATTACTTTGAAATTTATGAAAATTGTACACGAGTAAAAATGCCCTCTTGAAGGTTTTACAAGTAATCTGTGCCTTTATCCAAACGCCACTTTAGCGCTTGTCAACAGAGAGAGTAGAAAACTAAATGTATGGAAAAGACACTGACAATTTACGTCAATTCCATATAATTTTGTTTTCTATTCTACATGTAGACAAGCGCTAAATGGCATTTGGCAACAGCTGCTGAACTTTTAAGAGCTAGTTCTCAAAAAGTTTTTATTTTGGTTTCCAGCGTCAGTGATGTCCCAACTAGCCTGGTTCATAGCGACGGTGGCTGTTGGGGTGTTCTTCTACCAACTGGTAGTGATGCAGCTGATCTATTTCTTGTTCTTACGACGGAACCCTTACAAGTTCTATTGGGGATTGTCACATGCCATGCTCACGGCTTCGGCTACTGCTTCTACGTAAGTTTTCATATTAAATCATTGTATTACTAATGTTATGATTGCTTTTATATTATCCACAATACAAAGATTTGCGAAAGCTGACACATTTTGAGTCAATTCAATTCACCTAGGTGATATCACCTTGGTGAAATATTTCTTAGGTGAATTGAGGACTCCAAAAATTCTACTTTGTTAACCTAGGTGAAATTACCCAAGTGAACAAAATGGAATAAACCATTATAACGTCAAAGGTAAATTCATTTCTGAGTATGTGTAGTGGAACTAATTGCAAAAACATTAATCGACATGCAAAGGCTTGACTTGGATTACCGAATCAGGCTAGGTATCAAAAAAAAAACTATGCAAATTAGAGTTGCTGGATAGGAAAAAGGGCACAGATCCTTGTGTACAACAATATGCTTACCTCCGTGATAAATTACAACAACTAAATGAAAATAATACATGAACTGCAAGCAACTAAGTAAGATTAATGCTCTAACCTTCTCCGTGTGAGAAGAGGCTTTGCTCAGCAGTGGGCATTTATAGGCTGTTGATGATGATGATGAAGCAACTAAGTAGGTACATCAACAAACCTCTTCAAGTTTAATGAGCACAAGCTTTTCCTAAAAAAATAATCAATAATATTACTTGACGATGACAAAGCAATAGAATCAAAGTTCCACACATACCATGATACCATTAATTGAACTCAACACAAGTTTATTCATTACGCAGATGAATGAACTCGATTGTATTTGATTGAACATAATAGAAACTCAATCAAAACCATGCGCCCATCGATTGCTGTTAAGGACCTGTTACTTAATAATCAATTGATTGGCGCGGTTTTAATTTAGCGTAATATATAAGAAATAATACCTCATTGGTCGATGGGCACAATAAGGAATAAGGGTTTTGAAGTTAAGTAAAATATACCTTGCTACCACTGGTTTTGTTTTTAAATGCCTGTAATATTTTGCCCGGAAATCGAACAGTGGTAAGCACGGAGTCTGGAATTGTTATGGCCTCACTCTCTATTACATGGGACTCATAACATAAATAGTGAAATGTGGGTGTTACATTGTACAGTGGCATTAAGTGCCATAATGTGCACCTTCGCTACCTTTCGGGGATTAAAATACCTATACTCAATCTACTAAAAAAAGAGTTATACAATACAGAGTCTGATTTTATGCCTGATATATGAAAATAGACTCGATCTTTTTTATATAGAACTGTACAACTATGGTTTACGGTATTTTGAAGATGCAACACTATACTAATAACAACAGGAGAATCACAATGACGCCTAATCACGTAACTGTAGTTCTCATAACATAATAACATGGGTATATATTATTTTATATTTACTTAAAAAAGCAAAAATAACGGAAGTAATACCACGCTCATTTAAAATATGTACCACCAGATTTTTAGAAAATGCAGAATAGAAAACGTACCTAATAGGGTAGTTTCTTAAATTTTATTTTAATGTCTGTCTGGTAGTTTATTTTAAATCATTGCACACCCTTTTTTCTCACAAAATTAACTGCTTTAGACGATATATTGATTTGAAATGTCGTGTGACGTCACAGAGTGCTACAAAATGTAGCACGTTGTGACGTAACTACTTCCCACTCCTAAACTTAACTCCATTTTATATAAGTATTGAAACTTTATACGAAAAAATGAAAAAAATACGTGTCTAATATTTTTCCATTATCTAACTGACGGAATTAGATTTTTAATTTTCTTACCCTGGAAACTACCCAATTCAATTTTAAACCTCCACCACCTATTTAATGCTACCTTCACAACCCCTTGCACTAATGAAATTTTAAACACTATTCGTCGAAGCCAATCTAAAGCGCACTTTACTCCTCAATAATTCATTCAATAATTCACTGCATTGCGTGGCTGATTCCCGTGTTGACGTCGAACAGTTTTACATGATTTGGAACCTATAAAGTATAAAGTGAAAGTTCAGTTTGACCTTGAAGAAGGTCACGGAAGCCATTTCTTTGATAGATTTCTTCAATCACTTAGTAGTCATAGCATGCAATGTGGATGGTACCGCTCAGGGTTATTTTTAGCACAGTCTTAAACTATGTATGTATATACTATAAGTTACGGTCGGTTATGGTATAAAAATGCCATAATATTAAGGTAAATTCCATAAGTAAGCAAAAATACGCCTACAGTAAATTCATTTTGTAATTGAAATATTTATAAACTGTTGCAAAAAGTTTGTTCTAATTTGGTGTACCGTGTGAGGAAAGTAAATATCTAATATATAAGTAAATATAAGTCGTGGTGGCCCGGAGGTTTAAGACGCCCGCTTCTCATGCATGAGGGTGCGGGTTCGAAACCTACCAACGGCAAGTACTATTGTGTTTTTTTCCGAGTTATATGTAGTTTCTAAGATTATTTAGACACCACTGACAAACGGTGAAGGAAAAACATTGTGAGGAAACCTGAACTTATAGTTTCTAATTATAAGTTTGAAATCGCCAACCCGCATTGAGCAAACGTGATGATTAATGCTCAAACCTTCTCCGTGTGAGAAGAGGCTTTGCTCAGCAGTGGGCATTTATAGGCTGTTGATGATGATGATGATGATTAACTTGACTATGAAATTAACTAAAAATATGACGCGATATACTGAGAAAAGCTCTATATATTTACGTGAGTAACCCGTCATTTTTAGTTAATTCAGTACATGTCTCACGATAGTTATTAGAAAAATGATATTCTATGTGACTTCATTACATTATTAAGAACAACGCTACGTTATTTAAAAAAAAACTTTAAATTCAAATCAAAACATTCTAATTTCCAGTGCAGCAGCTCTTCCAGTGACCTTCAGAGCTATGGAAGGTCCCTTGCAGGTGGACCCTCGGATCACTCGCTTCGTGCTACCGATTGGCTGTAATATCAATATGGACGGCACGGCTCTCTTCCTTTCTGTCGCCAGTGTCTTCGTCTGTCAAATGAATAACATACATCTTGGGTTCGCTCAGCTGGCTACTATCTTGTGAGTATGAATTTTTTTTGTTATCGTTCTAGAAGTACCAGCGGCTAAGTTTTAAAGTTAAGAGTCGTGAACTATTGCGAAGGGAACAGACAGACGCATCACGTACTTAATTTATCATTTTGGCAATTGTGTTTAATATATATGTATATGTAGCTTTATCCCTAATTTATTTATTTACTTTTATATTATTGTTATTAAGTAATATTGATAATGTATCTTATGCACTTTATATTATACCTATATATACGGATATAATTATGTATGTATTTACAGTTATGCATAATCATGAATTTATTTATATAGATTTTTCTGTGTCACATAAATTAAACCATAATACCTACCAATTACACCTATTGTTGCACATCTCTGCATCACATTATGGTTGACTGTTAGAGTATGCCACCCGGCATTAAGTCCACCATCGTATGTTTAATATACAGAAGTGTTAATAAATAAATAAATAAGTACATATTTCGGAGACGTAAATAAAAAAGACAGTCAACTTAATCTTATTATTATTTATATTTCTCTATGCCAAGTACGTTGATAAAATGGCTGACGTAATGCCTCTCAGAAATAATTGAAGCACCAAAATGTCAGTGGTGTATTCATGTGTGCGTGTATTTGCAACACCGTAATGTATGAAGTGTAATGACGGACCATGTCACGCGACAGATGTCCTTCGTGTCAATGTGTGTGTATTCTGCGTGTAAGTGTATAGTAGCCAGTTGCTGCAGTCGTTGCTTCAAGAGACTATGTCCGCCCTTTTTTCAACGTACCTACTTACTCTTTGATTATAATTTGTCTATGCTTTCTACGTAAATGTGAAATAATATTTTTTATATAGAGTTGAAGTTAACAGTAAAATTCTTTTCTTTCTTTCTTGTTCATGTCACTGATTAACGTGGTTTCAGACCAAGCTATCATATGTTGCTTCGTATGTTGCTTCAGGTATGTCTTTACATTATGCTCACATGTGTGTACGATATTGGAATATGAAGAGCAGTGAAAAACAGACTTTTTTTTAAAAGAGTAACGAATGGAGTTCCTTTCTCGTTCTTCTCCACTCAAATCGACATTTTGGAACGAGCGCCTAGCTTCACTGACGGACAGACTGACAGACTATTATTTATTTCATATTTGTTGACGTTTCAAAAGTACCAAGTTATGGTTTAATTGAAATAAATGCTTTGACTTTTGACTTTGTAACTGATTAACGAAGTTTCAGACCAAGCTAGGGACTCATAGTCATGAGCAGTATTTAATTGCGTGTCAACAAAAAAATGAAAAGAACCTTTTATTAAAATTTCCTCAGCCTGACTTCAACAGCAGCGTCAGTGTCTTCCGCGTCAGTTCCGTCGGCCGCCATGGTGCTGCTCCTGGTAGTGCTGGCGGCCGTGGATGCTCCCACGCACGATGTGTCGCTGTTATTCGCTGTGGACTGGCTCGTGTGAGTACAATTATACTACACTAGCTTTCACCCGCGGCTGCGCTAGCGTCACAAAAGGATAAAAAGTAGCCTATGTGACATATACCAATACACACAGCGCCATCTATACCAATACTTTTGTTTGGGAATATCAAATTTTTCCGGGATAATAAGTACCCTATTATTTAATCCAGACTTCTAACTTTACGTCTGCAAAAATTTAAAGCAATCGGTTTAATAGTTACGGCGTTAAAGCGGAACAAACAAACTCACTTTCCGATTTATAATAATTATTATTAGTAAGGATGTTCTGGTGTCTTTTTAACCGACTTAAAAAACTGACTGCTTCGTTGGCCGAGTGGTCGCAAGTGCGACTGCCGGGCAAGGGGTCTCGGGATCGATTCCCGGGTCGGGCAAAGTATTACTGAGTTTTTAAAAATCTCAGTAGTAGCACGGAGTCTGAAATCTTTTATCCCTGAAAGGGGTAGGCAGAGGTGCAGATTACGGCACTTAATGCCACTGTACAATGTAACACACTTTTCACTATTTATGTTATAAGTCCCATATAATACCTACGGGGTGAGTTTATTGCCATATACCGGGCACAATTCCAGATTCAGTTTTTTTTTAAAACCCAGTAACACTTTGCCCGTCCCGGGAATCGAATCCGAGACCCCTAACCCGGCAATCGCATTTGTGACCCCTCGGCCAACGAGGCAGTCTTCAGTCAACTTAGGTATGATTATATGATTAATTATAATAATCTGCAATTTCTTTGATCTTACAGTGACCGTATAAGAACCACTAACAACATGCTCGGAGACTGCTACGCGGCCGCAGTAGTGGAACACATGTCCAAGAACGAGCTGATGGCCTGCGACGCTTTAAATGCGGTAAGATTATTTTCATGTGTGGAATGATTTTCTAAGTATTCATGATTCTATAAGTGTGGGAGAGCCATGCTTCCCCACGAATGGGCCGGCTCGACCGGAGTGATACCACGGCCGAGCAGAAAACCGACGTGAAGCAACGCTTGCGTTGTGTTTCGTCGTGTGAGTGAGGTTACCGGAGGCACAATTACCCTCCCCTTCCCCAATCTCCCCAATCCCTGAATCCCCAACGATCCTCAAACTCCTAATCCCCAAAAGGTCGGTAACGCACTTGTAAAGCCTCTGGTGTTCCAGGTGTCCATGGGCGACGCCGATTGCTTACCATCAGGTGATCCGTCTGCTCGTTTAACGGCTTTGGTCATAAAAAAAAGATGTCCATATTTAAAGATGTATTTTTGACTGCCTCGTTGGCCAAGCGGCCGCAAGTGTGACTGCAGGGCAAGGGGCTCGGGTTCGATTCCCGGGTCGAGCAAAGTGAAAAAAAACCAGTAATGGTTTTTTTTAATCTCAGTAGTAGCACGCAGTGTTAAAATGTGCCCGGTATATGGCAATAGGCTCACCCCCTATTACATGGGACTCATAACATAAAAAATGAAAAGTTGGTGTTACATTTTACAGTGGCATTGAGTATCCTAATATGCACCCTACCTAAAAAGATAAAAGGCGTGATGATGTTATATGATTAACTATAGGGTATCAATATTTTCTTTTATATAACTGTCATTAAAATTCCAAATATATTGCCACGTACCTAGTATACTAGCATTTAGAGTTATCATCGTAGTAAATTATCAGATTTTTTATTAATTGTATAACAACCATAATACAGTTTCAAATGAGACAGATATTTTACTTATGTAACTAATCATAATATTTTACTAATCAAAAATATTGCTCTTAGGTAAATTCAAAGCACTTAAAGTAAGACAAAAAAGCTGTCCTTTACATAACAGCATACCATAACATAACGCTTTTTACCCCCGAAGGGATAATCAATGCTGTACATTACGGTACTTAATGCCACTATATAATCTAACACCCACGTTTAACTATTTTGTGTTACGAGTCCCATGTAATAGGAGATGAGCCTATTGCCATATACCGGACACAATTCCAGACTTTCTGCTGTCTGAGGGTTTTTATAAACCTACTAGAATTACTCTTTGGCCCACTTTCTGTGACCACTAGCGACCACTCGGCCAACGAGACAGTCTTTCCTGTACCAACAATATAATTTCTAATTCCAGGACCCCATAAACGGGTTGACCCCAAACACGGACGTGGACATCGGCATAGTGACCCCTAGTAAAAAGTCCATTGGTTCTGATGAAGTTATTATAGACATGCATTTAAATAATCATACTGATGCCATTAAGCGGATTTAGTGACTATAATTAATCATTTTCATATAATAAATGTACCATTTTAGACCTTAGTCCATTTTTCTAAGAGTGGGTTTGGCCTATGCCTGATAGTGGGTGACTTGGGGTGATTGTGAAGTCAATTGGGCTTGACTGTGTATTATCATCTAGAATTTACACAGAGTGTGTTATATTACATTTTTGACCAAGATTTTGTTTTGAAGAAAACAATTTCTTATTTTTGTATTATACCTTTCGTGAGACATACTAAATAAACTATTATGTTTTCGGCTTACTCTCGTAATTATTTTCACGAGGAACTCGACTAGTTTCAAGCTATGCTAAAGGCTCATATTCATAAGCATTTCGCGACCTGCGACCTGCTAATATGAGTATCTAGCATGGCTTGAATGCAATAATTTCTAATTTAACTAAAATCACGGGTTACTCACGTGAATATACTGAGAAAAGCTCTAAGATACTCAGGTCAGTAGGCTGCCCGACATCGCCGCGACCGCGCACGCTGCTCATGAGGAAGAACCCCTCTATGGTTCGAAACTAGAAGAGCTTTTCACAATATATTGACGTGAGTAACCCGCGATTTTAGTTAATTTAGTATGTCTCACGATAGTTATTATAAACATTTCTTATTTTATACAAATACTGTATATTCAATTTATCCAGAGATTTTCTTCAATTTTTATTCCAGCTTTCGATGTTATAGTAACAAACTTAGAATTATAGCCTGTCTTTATTAGTACAGTAGGTTTTTATAATACCTATCGTGAGACATACTAAATTAGCTAAAATCGCGGGTTACTCACGTGTATATACTGACATATGACGCGCACGCTTCTCATGAGGTAGAACCCCTCTGTGGTTCGAAACTAGTAGAGCTTTTCTCAGTATATTCACGTGAGTAACCCGCGATTTTAGCTAATTTAGTACAATAGGCTTTTCTCTACTCATAATTCTAATACTGCTAGTAAAAAAATAACCTTCTTTGGAAGAAAAAGTGAAGTAAAATAACACCCTCTGTATAAATAAGACTTTCAATTAGTATAAAAGTATCATCAATAATTTAAATATAGAAGGGTTCAGTATTCACTACATTATACCCTAAGGCCACGTATAAGTAATTTTAAGGGTGATTGGGCTAAGTTTACGCGTACGAAATAATTTCTTTACTTAACCTTTTGATTATACAACAATTGTATATAAAATACAATAGAACATACATACATTATGTCTTGGATCCACGTTCCAGCACACTAAAGGTTAATATGTCTGAAAAACAATATTACAGCACCATCATTATCATCGACATCCTATAAATGCCCACTGCTAAGCAAAGCCTCTTCTCACACGGAGAAGGTTTGAGCATTAATCACCACACTTGCTCAATGCAACTCATAATTAGAAATTATAAGCTCAGGTTTCTTTGCGATGTTTTCCTTCACCGTTTGTCAGTGGTGTCTAGATAATCTTGAAAGTACATATAACTCACAAAAAGTCACATTGGTAGGTTGAAGTACATTGGCCGTTGGTGGTCCTTCGAGCCACCACGACATTTTACATATAACAACATAGTAGATTGTTATGAGCAGTTGGGTAAGGCATAGTGAGATAAAGATATTCAAATAATGCCTTAAGTATTATTTTGAGCTTCAAGAGACTTTTCAGAGTTCTCAAAATCAATTCAGTCGTTGGCCGAGTGGGCGCAAGTGCGACTGCTGGTCAAGAGGTCTCGGGTTCGAATCCCGGGTCGGGCAAAGTATTACTGGGTTTTTAAAAATATCAGTAGTAGCACGGAGTCTGGAAATGTGTCCGGTATATGGCAATAGGCTCACCCCCTATTACATGGGACTCATAACATAAATAGTGAAAAGTGGGTTACATTGCTACATTGTACAGTGGCATAATGTGCACCTCTGCCTACCCCTTCGGGGATAAAAAGGCATGATGTTATGTTATGTTAAAAGTCATACTAAAGAAACAATACAGGCTATAATTATGTTTGTATATTCGTACGTGCGTATTCGGTTTTAGAGACAGGGTTGACCAGTGAAGGCCTTACCTTTTTAAAAGGCATTTTGAGTGTTACCACATCGGAAAAAGTAGAAGAGAAACTCAGTTGCCATAGTAAAAAAACTTAAATAAAATAGCGATAATAATTATGACATATAATACATACATGTGTGTTGTACGCATAGTTTTGTAGTCATCATTGCAATGTATTAAAAATACTTAGACATTTATGAGTATGAATAAAGCTTGACGATGTTGCCTTATAATCGGTATCCGTATTAAAAATATCAGTATTTAGATATAATATTTAAAAAATTGACGCCCGTTTTTTGATCATTATATATATAATTTTTTATAAAACCTGTAATATACTGATGAATTTTTAACTACATTTTAATAATAGGGGAACATTAAATTACTTAAATCCATTCCTATTAAAACATCAGTATATAAATACTAAACAGGGCTAGTGTTCGTAGGCATTTTATATCAATTATATATACTATATATAACATTTATACAATATAATAGTGATATATATATATATATTGCTTTATATATAAGCTTCCCTTGTATGGGTTGAGAAGTATGTAGATGCTCAATTTTAATCCATTCATATTATATATTATTTATAAAATTCACTGATTATTATTATAATATTATAGCAACTGAACACAGGATTCTAATATTATTTCTATTAATTTTGATCACAAGACAATCTAACCTTACGTTATTAAAAAATGTATAAGTCAATTTAAATAAAATTTAAAAGCAATCATCAATGGTTTTCAAATTCATTTATGACGGAAATTTTATAAGACATTTTGTGATTATATTCTAAAAATAATAATAACATTATGATAATAATTAACTATACTAACAAATCTATGAACGTTTTTGGATGTCGTAAATACATACCTACACTCTGTTTTAAATACTTTCTAAAACTGTATGTTCAAGCACTTTTATGGCAACTTTTCGAATCTTAAAACATTTATATGTTAAACAATTTTCCTTCAAGTTTGTAATTGATTTCACCCAAATGAAAAAACAATAAGCACCGATATTCACCCAGATGACAAGTTGGTAATTATTATTGTATCAAAAAGTAGTTGTAGTTCCAACTGTGATAATAATATTTAATTTATCATTTTTTCATAATTTAGCTATTAAATTTTATTACTGTAGAGATGAGTAATTTTGTAAAAAAATAATGGATTGTATAATACACTACATACTATAAAACAAAGTCGCTATCCGCCGTCTATCTGTCCCTATGTATGCTTAGATCTTTAAAAATACGCAACGGATTTTGATGCGGTTTTGTTAAATAGATAGAGTGATTCTTAAGGAAGGTTTATATGTATAAAACATGCATATTGCACCCGTGCGAAGCTGGGTGGGACGCTAGTGGATTATAATACATACTCATCCTAAAATTGGATGAATCAGTGAATACAAGAAAAGTTCATGTATGACTTACAAGTATTATTTCAGTGTCTATTTCATACACTAATTTTGTAATTGACTACTACGACAATTTTTTAAATGCCGTTTGTCTAGATGTGAACTGAATAAAAGCGATTGAATAGAATAGTCAATACCTATACGAGGATGACTTAATTTAATATTAATCTCAAAGGTATATTGATTTTATATTATTTTTCTATAGACTTGATCGACTACCTAGTGTTATAATTGCCATTTGCCTGGGAAGGTTCAACTTTGTGGATTTTGATAAATATATGTATAGTAAAATATTATTTTGCAAAATTACTCATGTCTTATTAATATTTAGTACGTACGAGTATGTATTAAAATTAATAACCAATTTTAATAAACAACATTTTCTTTCAGATTTATTTTACTCATGTTCTAGTTTTAAGTAATGAAAACATTTAAAGTATAGTTTTAGGGCAATTCAAGTATATAGTCCGATTGAAAAAAAACCCTCATTTTTTTTCTAATCTATCTAATATGATTTTTACGTTTAGGGAAGTAGAATGCAATATAGAATAGAATAGAATCTTTATTTGCATAAAATGTAGGTACATAATGGTGATAATAATAACATAGTCAAGGTGCCATATACATCTTGCCGCTTGGCGACATGCAAATCTTTATACAGTTCAAATACTTATCACAGAAATAGAACATTTAACAATTTATCTAAATTATAAGTTTACAGTCTATACCTCACAGATCGCTCACAATTGTAGAATTTACATGGGTTTTTTGCTAGAAATTCGTCAACTGAGTAAAAACATTGCTGACATAACCATTTTCTTAGCATTACACTAAATTTATTTGAAGGTAGTCCGGAGATAGTTTTTGGTAAAGAGTTATATATTAAGGGACCCATGTAAATACAGCTTCGTCTAAATAACTCTAATCTAGGAACCGGTAACTGAAATTCTAGATGAGTAGCTTTTCTTTTATTTACATTATTGTTAGACACAAAAAATTGAGGATTATTTTTCACAAATTTAGAAATCTCGTAAATATAAATACAGGGAACCGTTAAGAGGCTATTTGATTGGAATGCGGGTCTACATGAATCACACCAGTCAACATTAAACATTGCACGAACACACTTCTTCTGGACAATGAACACTCGTGATATATCCGAAAGAATGTGTGTTAATATGTGTTGTATATTATGTTTACTCTTTCTACGTGAAACATAATTACTGATGGGAAGTAAGTAAGCATTATTGCCCTTTGTTATTTACTTTTTAAGTTCTTTCTAAACTGAAACATTAATAACTAAACACTATGTGCCTATAATGTGCAGTTTTTTGTGTGTGTTCTTAGAAAAGATTTTCTTTCAGGGTTTTTAAAACAAATAGAAACAACATTTTATATTTTTAAATTCAATTTTATTTCCACCTAAACAATATTCATACAGTCGGTGGCGTCTAAGACTAATTTATTAACATGTAATTAAAATAATTATTTACATTCAATATTCTAGTAATCAGTCCAGAATTTTTGAT